AAAAACTTTAAAGCTTTTAATTGAGAAGTTGTTGATATGGTGGCAGTTTAATAAGAAAACGTTAAAATATTTAATTTGTTTACATTTTATAGTACTGCCTGGAAGAAGGTATAGAAACAAAGTGTGCACTTAATAATCAATAAATCAAACAACTTAAAGCTTACTGTACTAGGCAGTATCGAATCAGCACATGACAACATCATGATTTTTGTTTTCCTTTATCAGTGCTATCTAGCGAGAGATATTTTTGATCAAGCAGGAGTCGTGTTTGTGAAAAATAGATTAATGAATTAACACTATTATGCATTGCTAACTAGACTGTTGTTATTCTGAAAAACAGTTAAATGAGGGAGTTATTCAACAATCAACATTTTATTTGAGCTATTAAATGTTATATTAACTCACTGTAACTCTTTTACTAAAGCAATCTTACCCTAAGTAACAGGATTACTTAACTGTTATTAATTCATGTTTAGTAATTTCTTGCACAGTTAAATCAGCAAGGTATTCATTGATCAAAATTTGTTTAGGGTATTAAATGATAAATATTATCTTGTCATAACCTCTTTATTAAAGCATTCTTACCCTAAGTAGTACAAGTTACCTTTGTAGCTTGTAAGTAAGCAAGTAAGTTAAAGGTACACTATTATTTAGGCAGACAGGGTCAGTACGAACATCGTACATTACTATGACTATTCATGTAACCACTGACCAATAGGTCACACCCTCATATTTCTGACTTGTGTAAAAGCAGAATACATGTATACCATTGAAAACAGTCAAACCAATGGAAATAGTAATAGCTGTCATGCGATATGTATGTTAAGTTGGTAGGTATCTGAGACTGAATAAGTTTGTTTGAGTTTCAACACCAGTGCCAACTCTTAAGTGACTCTTTACCAATATTAAGATTGACTGTTACATTATAACATACCCTGGTTAGTATGACCTGATTGTTACCTTATGACTTGAGGGTCGTATGGGTGTTGTAAGATCATGATCAGCCTCACCATTTACTGCCTTCCCTTTGATCCCCATTTTGAAATTAGGGACAATGGCAGAGAACCTTAGTAGTTTGCCATAACTCAAAAAACAGAAAAATATAATGCCCGTATGGCTGAAAATAGAAACATGGTTATGGCAATGATAATTTAACCCATAAATCATGAATCAACCACCCTAATTAATGGGAAAAAAACAATAATAATGATAATTTTTTTGATTACTTGGATAGTTGGAATAATGGAGCATGGTTGTAGCATTGAGAATCGAACTCAAGACCCTCGAATCATGAAGCAGACAATATAATTAACAGACCATGCTGACCCAATTTAAGGAAACTTGAATTCATCAAAATTAAAATTAATAGTGAATAGTTAAAATAATCCATGATTGTAATAATCATAAACACCAATTTTATTTATTTTTGTCATATTAATTGATGTTATTTTTGATTAATCGATGGTTTTATAGGACACTAATCAGTCTAATCGGTTCTCGTAGGTAATGAATTATACCAAGTAATCTGATTAATCATCCAGTTGTACATGTATCTCTGTAAAGTGTATGTTCAGTGGAATTTACTTAAATCAGGTATATTTTTAAAATAACTAATTAAATTATTTTAAAAGTAAGATACAATAAGTTAAAATAAATACAAGTAGTAGGTTGTATTAAGCTATGTTTTAATTTTCAGGATTTGAAGATCTGAAAAGTGTTGTGATCTTCATGTCCTTTGCCCTAGGATTTTCCTCCATTATGAAAACACTGACAGAAACAATTAGTACAGACACTGTATACGCCATGTCTACTTTCATGTTTCTTGTTCACCTGGTGTTTCACGATTATGGAGCACATGCCGTCATGTGAGTTTTGGAAAATTTACGTGGCTTAAGCCTGTTATAGACTGCTTATCCCTTTGAATATGTAATAATTCAGTAACTATCTTATTTTGTAATAATAGTTTAAGACAAAAAAAATAGGTATTATGCATGTGGTACAAGACATAGTCTTATAATTTTCAAAAGTTTATTCAACACATTGTAAAATATAAAAACAAAAGCAGCTAAAAATAATAACCAGTTAATGCTGTGATGTTGTTTTCTGTGCAATTATGTGTGATAGGTTGTACATATTAAATAATAGTATGAAAGAAACAGTAGCAAACATCTGATCTGAATATTCTTTGAGATTCAAATTGTGTGTTGGTAAATAACAAATATAAAGTACATAAGCCTTCCCCAGATTAAAAGTTTATACTGAGATAAGCTTGAAGATAGTAGCAATATGGTAGTTAAAATCCGGTTTTAGGGTTTAATACATTGTAAAGTGAATATCCAAATCAGTAAATCATGTGACAGATACAGCTAATATCAAGTCAGAGTGGAACAGAATATATCAGAACTACATTTTCACATTGTTCGTCATTTAATAGGTACATAATTGAATAAATAGAGTTGTTTAAACATTTGTTTAACAACAAGTAAAAGCTTGGAATGGTCTGTTCTTTCATTTGGGTGTGTGTCTGTGAGCCAGACTAGTTTTGGAGAATTCCACTCCTCATCAGTGACTCTGGACATTACCACGGATAAAATATCAGACCAAACCAAGCCTTTATAGTAGTGAGGTATCAAATATCGAACTGGTGTATTTAAGTGTTTTACACTCACATAAAAGAAACCTATCATTCTATAGGTATTTGAAGAACTTGTAGCATTCCGTCACAATTTAATTCTTCGTGTTATTAGCCGACACTGGGCAGCTTGTGCAAGATACTTGTTTTTGAAAAGAGTATGTAACAGGTGTGAAAGATTCATACATTCAGATTAGAGATGTAGAACTTACAAGTAGGGGATATCTCTTGTACGTAATAGCATTGGAAAACAAAGGTGTATAGATCAATTGGGGCTAGGACTATCCAGAAAATAACCCATCATGCCCAGCTGTGATAAGCAAATTGAAGTGTCTTTTTAACTCTCTCAATGTGGAGTTGGTCAATTTGACCGACCATGTGACCTTTTTGTACTTGTTTAAAGTCTTTATAAATTTAATACTTATAGCTCTCAATATTGTGTGTATATCTTCACGAAATTTGGCTTTCACCCTCAAAAAATCATATTTTTAATAAAATATAGATTTGACCATTAATATATTAATTTTGAATAGTCAGTGTGCAAAGTAATTTTCATGTTAAAATTAAAAATACTTTTCCTCATCTCAAAAATCTCAAACTTCTTTTGTGTAAACCCTAAAACCTCCTAAATGCATTTCAAACGTGTTTTTTTTCAGTAAAACTTCATAGTTTATCTGTTCTTTTCTCTACCTTATCTCAAAACAGAATCGGTCAATTCGACTGACCTCGTAACCACCAAAAAAAAATATAGAAATAAACCTAAATTACCCTTTTTTTTTCTTTCTAGAATGACTTCAAATTGTAACATGAAACTACATTCTTTTATCCTAAGTAGCTCTAAGTTCGTAACAGTATACATATATTTATAATTAAGTTTTATTGTTATATTACTGTGTTGAACTGTGTCTAACTACTGTCTGCATCATTATAAGTTGTAAATCACTTGGGGAACATGCAGCACACTTTACACTATCGAATTACATTACCCATGAGCTACTACGAGCTGCTCACGTGCTTGCCTCATGAACCATTTTAATCATATCATTATTGTTACCTATTTTGCCTAATCTAGTCTTAAATAACTTAAAAGAGTTACGTATTTTTAGATTTTAGTTACTTTTATACTAGTTAATAAAGAATAAATATGTAAAACAAGAAATAAAGTACTTACCTAATCTTCTTTTTTGTTTCTGTCGGGTTTTCGAAGAGAGTTAACCCTAATTTTTATACTATAGATAGTAATGTACTTAATAATTTTTATTTAATTAAATAATGCACCAAAGAATATAGACTAATAACATGGAAAAAGTAGACAAATTCACTTGACTCTTAAACTTTTCCTGGCTTTCTAACTATGCAACAAGAGCCGTTACAAATTCATCCAAGCTAATCGTTAACTTTCTCACGGGAACGATGTTGATACTCTGAATGAAATTAACATTTAATCATTCAGAACATAACATTATACAATACGTCACTGATCGTGTTATACAACACTTCATTTAATAGATGAAAACCTTGACCTAAGAGAGAACTATCAACAAATTGTAAAAGAGAGGATGTGACAGGAGGAGTTAGATTTTCATATGATAGCTAAGTAACAAAACAAAATTGAA